TAGCCAAGTGGTATAAATAAGGGAACTAGGGATTATTTCTCATGACACTAGATTTGTTGACATCGTTTTATAACAATAATTTGATTTACTATAAAATAAGACGATACGATAAAAAAAGATTGTTTGATCCTCAGATTATTTACTATCAGGTTAAAACAATCTACAAATAAATGATACAAAAAGTGTTAACTAACAATATAGCCAGTGCCTATTTCATTGATACGGTACTTTCCAATGATCGACCTCATTTGTACAGGTTAAGGTGAAATATTAAATGAATGTAATTTCAATAATTATAAGCCCAAAAAATAAAATATGTGAGTGTACAGCAGACGCCAGGCCTAAATGGATCTATAATGCACGATTTTGATATGGACCCTATAATAGGTACGGTAGCGATAAAGTTGAGGACTAGTACAACGTTGTACTATGCACTTTTACGGCTGAAAACTAAACGATTGAGTTAGCAAACAACAATGGCGTTAATGCACGAGATCAAAGGATACAGAAACCTGATAATCTAGCTGATGTATTAAACCGGGTTAACCGCTGAGGTTCGCATGTCTCCGGACTAGTTGTCGTAGGTATATATCATAATAGTACTTGACAATATCTAGTTTTACGACCTTGGCTGAACCTGAAAATATCTGTGCCATGCTCAACTGCGCCGCTGTGTGAACTATTGCGTGCACACATTTTTGAGCAAAAAATAAAAAAATAATTATAATATCAGAACATTACCGCTGCGCAATTGAAAAAGTCATTATATTGTGTTATGCACAACGTTGGTACACGGTGCATACGTTGGTATCGTACCGAGATGTATTATTGTACAATTTATTAAATTGTGCAGCGGCCATATGTAAGTAATTCGGAATCACTTCAATCGACGCTACCCTTATGGCATATTTGTCTTACTACTAAAGTGTATGCTTCTAACAGGTAACTAAAAATATTGATGAATAAATGTGTGTACTGTTTAACCGCAAACGTTGTCATACCATTAAACTCTTTTCCAAAATGACGGCCTAACACCCAAATCCGGTACATTATAGGAATAATAAAACTACATAGGTTAAATATATTAATACATATTTTATTGGTTTTATAAATGAAGAACGAGTACAAAATTAGTCAATTGTGTTTCATGGAAAATGATAAATTTCTACAGTTTGTTACGCAATTCAAATATATTAAACAAAATGAAAAGATAAGAGAATACTACGAGATATCCTTCAAGGAACTAATGAGATTCGTCTTTATCGTTTGAAATACATAGCTGACTGCACTATTATGTGTATGTTTACACATTATAGCGTACCTGTTTTCAACAATCATTGTTAACCTACAATACGGTTAGGTTAGCAATACTAACTATATACTATGTACAACTATTGCTTCGATCGGTTTTGTGGAGCATTATTCTTGTTTTCATTGTCTTAATTCTATTTACTATTAGCCTTAGTACTACTTAAAATATTGGTTTTAAATACACAAATTCACATTAAAATGTACTTCTCTAATAAAAAAAACCTCTTAACAGAAAAACATATAGCTATTCAGATACGAAATTACTAATTTATTTTTTTACTCTAAATAGAGAAATGAAGAGAGAGAAAGAAAGGAAGAGAAACTCTTAGAACTCGAAAAACTATAGTCTATTGAATTGTTGAGTCATACGTACAAAATGCTTTTAGTTAATTTGTTTAATTGGTTTTGAACGCAAATAGATTTTTAATTACTATATCTGATAAAAAATTTAAATACCTACTAGTTTTGGCTAATACATTATATAGTCGTTGTAATCGTCAATTTGATATTTATCACTATAAAACTTGAGCTACAATCATTAAACAACATCTATAGACATAATGCATGTATTTAATACAGACACGATACAATTAGTTTTTCATTCCAAATCTATTATAACGATATAATGTATACAATGAATTTGTACGACTAGATAGTTTCACAAGAAACGATTAAAAATAACAAATAAATTAATAAAAAATTTAGTGATAGTTTATCACATGCAAGTATTATTTGAAGTTTTTACAAAAAAAAAATTGTGTTATTCGCAATAAAATGCTTTCGAATTTAGTACTATTTTGTTTATAAATAAGGTTTATCAATAAATGATAATACTTTCCTTGACATTATCGTTAATCATAAATGTGAATTTATAAAAGCAAAATAGTTGCAGTACATCGTAGTTTTGTTGAAAAATATGTTAATTTGTTTTAAGAATTTTTCTCTGTTTTGAAAGGGAAGTGGTGAACTTTTTAAATTTTCGCCCTAAAAAAAGTGACATTCAAGTATGATATCTCACCTATAATAGGCTTACTACATAAAGAAATCGGTTCGGTAGTTAAAGAGATATCGTGGGTCTAGACCAGAAAAGTAAAATTAAAAACAAATAGTTTTAAAACAATATTTTTCAGCTCCGAAACGATTAAAAACTATTTATAATTTTAAGTTCGTTTTGCGAATTACAATTTCACTACATATTTGTTAAATGTATAAATTATCTTTAAGATGACAGTTGTTGTTAATTTACCTTATATTCGAATACATTTTATATTTGAGCTTCCATGCAAAGCTGAGAAGAAATTTTATAAATACCATTTTATGATTATGGTTACTGGTTTTTATCGAATATAATCACGACTAAAACATCATTAACCTTTGATCGCATCATTTATTTCTCTGTAGCATTAGTTTATTGTCATAAAATGTTTTATTGCAAAACGTCAAACATATTTGTACTTAATTTGGTATACAATAGTAAATAAAAAATAAAAAAAACGTGAAGCTAATAAGTATATCAAACCAAATTATGAAAATTATTGTTTTACAACGTTGCAATTGTGTGTAAAAAGGTCGGCGTGCAGGTCGATACGTCACATCCCGGCTGTTATATACCAAGTAATCGCATTAATATTAAAACGGTCAAGAGTATATTAGAGTTTCAATTATCGGTTAACATTTCCTAAGAGGTTTTTTAAGTATCAACAATAATTAATATACATTATGCCAGTAACCGCGTTGGCCGCGAACCTGCGCTAAACGCTTTCCCACATTAAATTTCACACCGTTAACGGTCGCATCTTCGATTGTATTTATTCTCATATATATATATATATATTTATATATTAATTAAAATTGAAAAACATTAAAACAATCGTGGAAGACCGCGGGGACGCGTCCTTTAACGGTCTATGCGCTTCGTCCAAGGTGAAATTTTATACATGCGCCGCGTACCCACTTCCTCTCCCCCCCTCCGCAACAATATAGCTGTGGTCTATGCAGTTGTTCCTCATCGCTCGACCAAAGAAAGTAATCGCGTTATTCCAAGGCGAGTAAAATTATTATTATCTACACTACAACATTGATAATGATAGCAAAAATGATTGATACGATAAAATATTACTTATATTATTATTATTATTATTGTTTTTAACGTATTTATTAATAGCTGCGGTTAAACAATGAAGGTGAAAGCAAAACGGTAAAACAGAAGAAGTTTGTGTGCCGTATGTACACATACTCGCACATAGACAAAATGAGTACCTTAGACGCGGATATGATGAAGAAACCGAGATAATGCGGTCGATCATAAGCGCCGCGTTCCAAATATACCATCGAAATCCCTATGTAAAAGGACCATCGAGCAAATTAATATCGAAATAATAATATAATAATACATACATATTATACACTGGATGTGCTGGTGGTTAATCGCAAATAGCGCAAAATAGGTAAGCGCAAACGCGCGTTACATAAAAATCGTGCTCTATGTATTTATGATTTATTTAGTTAAAATTATGATAAACGATACTCTTAATTTACATCGCAAGAATCATAAGTGTGTAAAATAATAATTACTAGAATTTATGTTTAATAAATGTGTATTTTGCGATTTAGATCATTTTGATAGCACTTAACACTCGTACGTGCGCTCATGTATCAACCATCATAATATCATGTACAACCTAACTGACCCAATGGCCAATGGACCTTGGTAGGACGTTTAAGACGAATATCCGACAAAATGATATTAATTATTAATTATTAATATATAATATTATTTGAGAGTATCCGAGTCGTTATCGATTGGAAAATAATAATTGTAATAATAATATTAGCATAGACCGATCAGAAATAAATAGTAATTTATCGAGCAATTATAGAACGTGTTAGGTCTAATAGTGTTAGGTACGCCTATTGAGAGATGGTTGATTTATTTGTCAATTGAGTTACTATTGTTGTATGTATTAATAATTTGTTTATTTAAGACTCCGGTTAATTATATTGTTTTTTTTTTATTTATTGTCGATTTATTGTTATTTGTTCGCATACACTAGTCGTTTCCCAGCAAACTAATCGGAAACTATGAACCGTAAACGGTTAATAGCCGGTAGACGTTGCGCAACATGAATCCTATAATACATGGGTAATACTGTAAGTATTTCAAAAGCAATTCACGGGCCTAAGATATTAGTATTATAATATTATACTATCATTTTTCCCAATGCGCAATGATTTCGTATTAATAAAAATAAAATTGAAAAAGATTCGCTTACAAACCGTCCACACTCAAAATTTAACAACAAAAATTTTAATACATTTTAATTTAAAAAAATTTGTTCGTGATATCCATAATCGACAAAAGCATTGTCGTAGTCAATATACTAGTGCAAATTTTTATAGCATAATACATTTTTAATATGTATTAAAATTGCATTTAACACATGTTTGCGTTTAACCGTCGATATATATATATATATATATATATATATATATATAGCGTATAGAATACAAAATTGTTCCGATTTACCATAAACAAGATATAAAAAAAAAAATGTATATATACTGTTTGCTAACTACCGTCGACGGTCGTTGGTGTCGCGCAGGACGTTTCGAAACGACCGCTTAAAAATTTTAAATTGTCTACGTGATTTTATTAGGTCGCGTGTATAGTATTTTTAAAAAATACTTACCAATGATTTTGTATGATATCCCGTGGTGGAAACTTTTTCTTCGAGAAACAAAATTTATTTGGTGAAATACCGAATTGGCCGTGCGTAGGTTAATGTCGTTTTACATTAATATAAAAGTAAACCGAAAACCGTCGGTGTTTTTCCCAATAACGACGTCCCGCGGAAGAAAATGAAAAATTATATTTTTTTTTACAGTTTGAGTGTGCGATAAAAATTGTTTTTGACCGCCGTGTAAAGAAAAAAAATTGTTTTTTTATTTTTATTAACAACTAAAGGAACAGTATAACGGCAGAGCGTACGGAGCGCGTGTGACAGACCGAATGCGAGGCGGCCCGGCCGGTCGCCTCGACGAGCGTCGCTGTTTGGGCCTCCGGCCAATATGATAATTGACGTCACAGCGGCAACGGTATACGTCACAAACTGTAGCACGGTTGCTAGGGGGTTCTGACGTCACGGCGACCCTCGCGTAGGCGTTTACAAAAAACGCACACATACACGCACACACACACACACACACACAAATGAACAGTGGGTTTGGGATGAAAGTTAGCCGACGGGAGGAGGTCGGGTGCGGGTGGCGTCTCTTCTTAATGTATATCCGTACTGGGAATCGCTCGCCCGCCTTTCGCTCCGACGTCCACGCACTACCGAAATCCATCCTAGCCCGTCGTCTCTTCCAGACCCAAACGGTCGGGGGTGTGCGAAAAAGTTTACAGGCGGGAGTGGCGGTAGCCGGATTCGAAACCCTCCCCTCACGCGACGCAACAGCATTAATATGTAGTTTCCCACGAGGGTTCTGTTTCATCCGATTCCTGGGACTTTCTTTTGACGTCAACGTTTCTCTCGTAAAAGCCATTTCATATTGCTATGGGTGTCGTATAATTTTTATTGCCATTGTTTTTCCACTATACTAGTATTATCAATACTAACATGTACCTAACACGAAAATATGTGAAAATAAGCAAAAAATGTTCGCGTTCGCTCAGTGACACGGCGTACATACCATTTGGTCTTTTCTTTATTAATTCTTTTACGAAAGAGTGATGACCAACACGTATGGGATCCGGGATCAGTAATTTCTGTAATATTCGAGAATACAAATTTAATGTCCACAACTTTGGGTGAGTTGAGGGTTTTTAAATTTCCTCGTACCCACCATAAGGAAAAGTACTTCCAATTTGGTTAAAAATATTTGTTTTTTTATTTTTAAATGTATAAATGCTATCAAAAATCTAAATGTTCAAAATTTGTATAGTTTTATTTTTTAAATCCACATTTAATCCAGGCACAAAATAATTAGAATTACTTTAAAAATAAAATTTCTTTAGTTGTGTTTTGTACTCAAAATTAGTAGACGGTGGCATCGAAAAAATAAGAACTTTTTTTCTAGACATTTCGTGAAAGATGGTTTTATTAGTTTTAAATCAGTGTTGTGTTAGTATAATGTTTCGATCTCCGAAAGGAGAAAATGAAAACTCCTTGAACTTTTGACCTACAAAGTACCAAACGATTAATATTTCGAACGACACAGATACTGATTGGCGATAAAAAACGGTCTACTAGCATAGGCCCAATTTCAATTTTTAACTCGAGGGGGCTGGAAATTGTTTTTAAATATTTATATATAAGTAAATATATTTTTGTATTTTAAAATTGTAGGCATAACCTAATTTTTTTTGGTGGGGCTTAGCCCACCCTAGCCCCCTCGTATTTGCCCATATGTCTACTAGTACAAATTAACAGTCCTCAATTTAGTTTTAAAAACAACATTGTTTGCATAATTGTTGGTAGTATGTACTCGTAGTATCGTGAGATATATCTTTAGAAGTATTATTTTATTTAAAAAAAAATATCTTTCGTGGAGTTTTCTCCATAAACGATAAAAAAACATGCAAAAGTATCAGAAATGTACTATTATGTTTTCCGCGTGTAACAATAATAATATATTAGTTATCATGTAAAAAAAACGACCTTGTTGACAATTACAACGTATTATCATTATTCCGTGCGTCCCGAAGAAATGGCATAATCCCATTAAGTACGTGAGCCGAACTAATAACTTACTATTCATAATGAATTTTGTCAATTCACTTTTAAGACTTAACATCATGAATATGTTTGCAATAATCACATGCATCGTTTAAAAAAACAACATCAATAGTGTCCATTTAATAAGTTCAATTGTGATCCTACATATGCTTACCTCAAAATATTGTTTTTTATATTGTCGAGTAAATAGTGTTTTCATTTTTTGTATAATATTTAAATACTTTTTATAAACTCCTTATTTACAATAAAATTCAGAATTCTTAATAGTTGCTGTTTTTGACCATAGTTCATATTTCACAGTTATTTTAGTAAATAGTAAGTTTAGATTCAAACACAAATTTACTTCTGTAATCATTTTGTTCAATATATTTTTACAATTGTGAGGTCATTCATTTTTTTTAATTAGGTATTATAAAAATTGAGCTATGCTACACGTTACAATAGTTGATTTACTGGTTAGGATTTGATCTATTTCAATTACACACACTACTATACGATGACTGTTGTCACCACTGACAAAATGTTTTGAGGCGCTGCAGTTCTCATAATTTTATTTACAAAATACCAATAAACATACAAATAGAAAAAATTATAGTAACTATTAATAATACAATATCAAAACATGGTTATCAATTAATAGTTGTTACTTGTAAAGTCGTAACCCAACATACCTATCTAGGTTAGTTTTTGATAACCCTAAAGGTTTCGATCTAAAATTTGATGTATTAACATTGCAGCAACGTAGCAGTAATGATAGACATAAATACCGGGTAAATATTAAAAAAACAACTGATGCCAGCGAACGAACGTGAACATTTTAAATCCGGCTTCGAGGTGCATTCAAAAATCAAACCACTCTTCCATCGTATGTTTAAAAATTTCAGATCTCTGTGTGACGTATATTTGAACTGAAATAATTGTTATAACTGAGTGATAGGGCTGGTCGTTCGACTACAATACTTGTTGCCGTTGGGTAACATGCATAGTCAATAACAATATCCTAATGAACATACTTTTATGAAATCTATTGACATATCAATCTGAAAATTTGAAACGGCCAAAGTGTAATTTCCCTCCAATTTGGATTTTCCTTAATAAAAAAAATGTTGTTACAGATTTTTGAAAAAAATTATATAATATGTTATAGTTCTATTCTAAATATACCTTAAGTCTAATTTTGAAATCTCGAGTTCCAAAACTACATTTCAAAAGTGATAGTTTTTTGGGTTTTCCTATGTATATTAATAGTATGCTACGTCTAAAGAATGTTCCGTACAAATTTGGAACTACGAGTAATTCTACTATTTTTTAAAAAGCCATAGCACGCTGTAATTATATTTTAAAAAATATTTAATTTTTTTTTTTTTTGATTGTGAAGTGGATGAAGGTGAACTTTTGTTTTTTCGGCCCCAAAAAGTATCTTTAAGGGACAAATTCTGATATATATTTATATAATATAGACATTGCTATATAAATAAATCAGTTAAGCCGCTTAGGAAATATAGACTAACGGTCTAAACACAAAAATAAAAATAATTAAAAATCATTGTAAAAGCAGTTATACCTTCTCAGTTACGCATTAAAGCTAAAAAGTGATTTAGAAGATGCCTAGAAATAAAGATATTTTTAATAATATTAAAAAACTGCAAGTCAATTATTTTTTTTTTAATTATAAAAAAAACATTTAGTTTGTTTCAACTATCACTTTATCCAAATCGTTGATAAAGCAGCATACAAAATTGATAGGGAATTTTATTATTGTATGATTAAGACGTATACTTAATACTTATGTAACCATATTACATTTATAGATACTAATAGTTGTAAGCCGCTATATTTTGTAATTCAATTTTCAACTATGTTCATAGAAACAAAAATCAATATTTATTTTTACAAACGTTAGTACCATTTTTTAGAAACAAATTTGATTTTATAATTTACTTACAATTTCAGTAGTTACTACGGCCAATAGCCTTCGTTTGCATACTTTGACATTTGAATTAGAATTTTCAATCGTGTCGTTAAACTATTAGGGAATTGTTGCACAACGTAAAATTATGCACGGTATCAGTTAGTCATTAATACATATGCGCTAATATTGCTAATATTGAAAAAAAAACACTATTGGCTAACCAATACCGTACATCATTTTACGTCTTACGATATGCATACCTAACCTTATTATATTGTCAGTGGGAGATTAAATTATTATAAGCGTTTTTTTTTACACATTTACTTATTATACAATAGATCTGCAGCTGCATAAAAAAAACGAATTGTTTATTTACAGTACGAAAGACAAGAGATGGTCAATATAATTATTATTTATTATATATCGGTTTTATAACTGTACACGTGCACACAACACCATGTCAGATTCATTAACATAGGTGTTTCACCTAAAGTGACCCGTTAACCCCTCCATTGCAAAGCGATAGTTTGACTTGTTTTAAGTACGTATCACTGGTTAATGACTTGTATAAGACAACGATAAACTGGAGGAGACAATATAAACCTACCGAATTAATATCTTTTAATAAGTTTCTTTGTAGTTATGGTGTACATATAATTAAAGCCAGGAGTAATGCGTTTTAGTTACTGCGCAGTATATTCTCTTTTTTGAACAGAATATACATTTATAACAAAAAGTTTGTGTGTGTGTGTGTGTTTATAACTTCTACTGTCAAAATACATTGAACGTTTCGTGGCGAATATGAAGTAAAAAAAAAATGTATTGCGTATTTTATTATATACGTATACATGATTATTACGGCTGCATTTAGTTAATTTTTTTTCCCGGTACTTAACGTTTTATTTTCCGTTTCAATAGTGTTATTTCAATGACAAATCATGTCATAAATTAACACATGTACATTTTGCTTTTAAGCGTAGTTACATTATCGGTGTGCGGACATTTGTATGCGTGAGTGTTTAAAAATAAAAAATCTTAATAATATAATGATCATTTTGTCGTCTGTCGAAGAACATTAGCTAAAAATGTAACAAAAAAATTGTAACGTTTTCAAAAATAGAAATGCGTTGACCTTTATGTAGAGCCAAAAATGACTTATTAATTCATTTCGATTTTTAAATTCTCAATCTTGAAATATGATGTATTAAGTAATGACAAAACTCATGGCAATTTTATTTTTGTGAAATTGTTATAACTATGGTGAAATAAATGAAAGTGATTTATCGCTTTTGTAATGATAAATGATAATATTATACTTTTGTAGGTAAAATTTTCTTATACGACATTGGTACACATTATATAATGTGTATGTA